ACCCCTTGAGAGGGCAAGAGATATACCCAACCTTTCCTCGGCACTTGCCTAGCTGTCTTTCTTCTAAATTCTCTTCTTGTCTCCTTGACACTCATCTCAGACCTTGACTCCTGGTCTACCATACCTATCCATGCTGGCCTTTCTGATGAGCTGCTTCCTAAAGTCTCCCATTTAAAGAGCCCCTCATCGGGGCTGGAGAGATGGCTCAGAGGTTAAGAGCACCGACTGCTCTTTCAGAGGTCCTGAGTTTGGTTCCTAGCAACCACATGGTGGCTCACAACCATCTGTTAGAGATCTGGTGCCCTCTTCTGGTGTGCAGATATACATGGAAGCAGAATGTTGTATACGTAATAAATAAATAAAACATTGTAAAAAATAAAAAGCCAGGCGTTGGTGGTGCACGCCTTTAATCCCAGCACTCAGGAGGCAGAGGCAGGCAGATCTCTGTGAGTTCGATGTCATCTCTAGTCTCCAGAGCGAGTGCCAGGATAGGCTCCAAAGCTACACAGAGAAACCCTGTCTCAAAAAACCAAAATAAATAAATAAATAAATAATAAAAATAAAGAGGCCTCATTTGGGATACAACTTCACCTCGTCCAATTCTGAACAAGTTGGAAAAATGGTTAAGCTAGAATGTAAGCAATATCAAGATGCATGCTTTATCTTATTTAGCCACAAAAATATTTAAGACCTCTGAAGACTAGTTACCTAATGCCAATATTAAGCTACGTACAGTGAGCTAGTCCAAGTCTCAGCTATTTAGGAATGATTTGAACCTAGAAATTTAGCATCAACCAGGGCAACATAGTGAGACCTTGTTTCAAAAAATAAAATAAAGTGGTTACTAAGGAATTTTTACATGTATTTAAAGACAATTAAAAATAACTTTAGGGGGGCTAGAGAGATGGCTCAGCGGTTAAAAGCACTGACTGTTCTTCCAGAGGTCCTGAGTTCAATTCCTAGCAACCACATGGTGGCTCAAAACCACTTTGAATGAGTTCTGGTGCCCTCAGCTGGCATGAAGGCAGAAGACCGTATACATAATAAATAAATAAAATCTTAAAAAAAAAAAAAAGATAATTTTAAAGCTGGGTAGTGGTGACAAATGCCTTTAATCCCAGCACTTGGGAAGCAAAGGCAGGTGAATCTCAGTGAGTTCAAGGTTAGCCTGATCTACAGAGTGAGTTCCAGACATCCAAGACTGTTAGACAAAGAAACCAGGTCTTGAGAAACCAAAAAAGCAGCCCACAAACAAAATTTTTAAAATGGTACTTTGATGTTATATCCACTTTGGAACTTTTTAAAATTAGAAGGTGAGAAGAGGAGGGAATTCAAGGCCAGTGTAGACTACTAACAGATCTGACCTCAAACAATAATAGTTGGGCATGATAGTACACAACTTTAATTCCACCACTCTGGACAAAGAGGCAGGTGGATCTGTGAGTTTCAGGCCAGCCTGGTCTATATAACAAGTTCCAAGCCATCATGGGCTACATAGTAAGAACCTGTCTTTTAAAAAAGAAAATCCAAACCAAATAAACAAAACAAAAGCCATACAGCACATATAGAGACCATATATTCAGGCTTTATTTGAAAAAGGAAAAAAAATCATATCTAAAACTTTAGGATATACATTTTTGCATTAAAATTGTCACTTTTCTAACCAACCTATTTGGCTTCTTGAGGTCTATGGAGTTTTTTTTAAGTTAAGTTCTAAAATTAGAAAATCACTTTTTATAGTACAACTCTCCAATGTCAACTACCAGTCAGAAAAAGTAAATGTCGGGCTGGAGAGATGGCTCAGAGGTTAAGAGCACTGGCTGTTCTTCCAGAGGTCCTGAGTTCAATCCCAGCAACCACATTGTGACTCACAACCATCTGTAATGAGATCTGATGCCCTCTTCTGATGTGCAGATATACATGGAAGGCAGAATGTTGTATACATAATAAATAAATAAAATCTTTAAAAAAATGAAAAGGTAAATGTCCTAGAGAGTCAATACCTCAGCAATTGAAGGTAAACCCAAGCATCTTAGACTATTCCTAAGTGGACATGGCAGCAGCACACACCAATAATTCCACACTTGAGAGATGAATACAGGAGAACCATCAGGTATTCAAAGTCATCTTTAGCTACATAGGAAGTTCAAAGCCAGCCTGAGCTAAAATAAGACCCTTTATTCCAACAAATCAAATAGCCAGGCATGGTGGCACATACCTTTAATTCCAGTACTCATGAAGCAGAGGTAGGCAATCTCAGTGAATTTGAGGCCAGCCTGATCTAAATAGAAAGTTCCAGGTCCGCTAGAGCTATACAGCAAGACCTTGTCTCAAAACAAACAGACAAAAGCTCCAAATGGGCTGGGTAGTGATGGCACACATCTTTAATCCCAGCACTCGGGAGTTCTCTTGTGAGTTTGAGGCCAGCCCGATCTACAGGTCCCAGGACAGTCTCCAAAGCTACAGAGAAACCCTGTCTTGAAAAACAAAACAACAACAACAAAACAAAACAAAGCAAAACCCTCCAAATGGAACCAAACAAATACAAAGTAAACAATAAAAACTTAAGTGGGGGTGTCAAGATGTAGTTCTGTGGTAGAAGGCTTGCCTCTGAGCCCTAACAATAGAAGCAGGGGCAAGTTGTGGGACAACAAACAAAACACCTAAAACTACACCAAATCTTCAAATTTTGCAGGACCCCTGACAGCGCCATACCTTTCCTCAGTCTCTGACTTTGTTTTTGTTTTTTGAGACAGGGTTTCTCTGTGTAGCTTTGTAAACCAAGCTGGTCTAGAACTCACAGAGATTGCATGCCTCTCCCTCCCAAGTGCTGGGATTAAAGGCATGCTCCACTACCAACCAGCTTGTTCCTGATTATTTAACTATTGTTCTTCAGTCATCCATGAAGCCTTCATCATTATCTCCAACTCACAGGGGCTCTTCTTTTATGTTCTAGAGCTTTTAACATTGGCATTGTTAGTTGTTTTATATCCCTTTGTCTAGTTGTACCTCAAGCCCTTCATTCATTCAATAAATACAAAGCAGCTATTCTAGGCCAAAGGCTGTTCTAGGCCCTGAGGATATGGTGATAAAGCAGAAAGATGAGGTCTCTGTATCATGACTATTTAACAATGAACAAAGATAGAGAAATAAGTACTTCAAATACTGATAAATATTTTGGGGACATGTGAACCAGGGCAGTTATCTAGGAATGATTGGGTGGGGTAGAGGCTACTTCCTCTTTAACAAGGCAAATCAAGCCAGGAGTAGTGGTACATGCCTGTCATACCAGCACTATTGAGGCAGAGGCAGATGGAGCTTTATGAATTCAAGGCAAACTTGGTCTACAGAGTTCTAGGCCAGCCAAAGCTACATAGTGAAACCCTGTTTCAAAAATAAACAATTGAATAATTAAAAGGCAGATTAGCAGCTGGAGAGGAGAGATGGCTGAGCTGTTAAAAGCACTTGCTATTCTTGCAGAAGATCCAGGTTTGGTTCTCAGCACTCATATGGCAGCCCACAGTCATCTATAACTCTAATTCCAAAGGAGCTAATGCCTATTTCTGACCTCTGAAGGCATCAGGTATTCATGTGGTACACATACACATATGCGGGAAAAACATTCATATACAAAAATAATAAATAAAATCTTAAAAAAAAGAAAGGGCAGATTAATCAAAGACTTGAACTGCAAGTGAAAACTATAGAAAAGGTAACTCAAGCCAAAGGGAAAAACAAGAGGAACAGAAGTATGAACTGTGCCCACCATGCCAAGGCTCATGTACTGAAGGTCTGGTCTCCAGTTGATGGTATTGAAAGGTGACTACATCATGAGGATGCTAACTTCATCACTGCTTTAACTTATTAATGGGCTTCTACAGAGACAGCTGACCCGAGCTCATGGGAACTCAGAAACTCTAGACCAATAGCTAGGAAGCCTGCATGGGACTGACATAGGCTCTCTGTATGTGGGAGACAGTTGTATAGCTTGGTCTGTTTGTGGGACCCCTAGCAGTGGGACCAGGATCTGTCCTGGTGCATGAGCTGGCTTTCTGGAACCTATTCCCTATGGTGGGATGCCTCCCTCAGCCTTGATACAGGGGGGAGGAGCTTGGTCCTGCCTCAACTTGATATGCCATGCTATGTCATGCTTTGTTGACTCCCATGGGAGACCTTACCCTTTCTGAGGAGAGGATGGGGGGGGGGACCAGGGGGGGGGGGGGGGGGGACAGGAGGAGAGGAGGGAGGGTAAACTATGGTTGGTATGTAAAATAAATTTTAAAATTTTAATAAAACTTGGCTAAAGAAAAAAAATATCGATGGGTTTCAAACTAAATGGGCTAATAGAACATGGGGTCTGGTTGGAGGAAGCAGGCCACTGGGGGACATTCATTTTAAGGGCATCACTTACCCCAGACCATTACAATCTATGTCTCTGCTTCCTGACTGTTGAGATGAGCAGCTCTGCTCTACAAACTCTTCTACCATGATGCTCACATGCCCAAATAAACTAAAGCCACCAAGCATGGAATGAAATCTCTACAACTGTCTTTCTCCCTTTAAATGATTTCTCTCAGGTACTGTCAGAGTAATGGAAAACTAACACAGGAAAGACAGACAAAATGAGATTTAAGTTAGAAGGGATACAGAGGGGCATGGCTGAGGCAGGCAGATCTCTGTGAATTCCAGACAAGCCTGGTCTACACAGTGCTTTTCAGACAAGTCAAGGCTACATAGTGAAACTGTATCTCAAAAAGAAGATTAAGAAGAAGAAAAAGAGGAAGAAGAAGGAATAGAGACTCTATGAATGACTAGTCTATACGTTTTAATATTTTAAAGGCCAGCATCCAAAACATATTTGAGTTTTGTTACCATTTATAAGTTTGAAAACACCCACTCACTTTTGCTTCCAACCATATTGCTCCTAGATATCAACATTCCTTCCATTTCTCTTATAAACAGTTTTATAGTGCAACCATCTGGCACCTGGAACCACTTACCCCTTTAATGAAGATAGGTTTGTCCTTTATGCCAAAGTTCCAGATCATGATATCTCCCCCTTTGGAGCCCACAGCCACGGTACTGGGATGAGTTGGGTGCCATGCCAAGGATGTAGTCCTCCTGTCAAAGGGGGCAGCTTTTTGGAATACCCGGTAAGAAGCCAGAGAGTGCAAAAAGGACTTCTGGAGACCCTAATACAGAGAAAATGGAATTAATCTGAACTCACTGAATTAAAATTCACGTCAATATTCAGGAGGCAGAGGCAGGTGCATTTCTGTAAGACTGAAGCCAGCCAGGTCTATATCCAGAGATCCAGGCAAACCAAGGCTACATAGTGAGATCTTGTCTCAAAAACAAATAAAAATTAAATTCAAGTCCTGGGTAAGCTTTCACTCTCTGGCTCCTTAATGGGTAAGCATTAAGATTAAATCTTCCCTAGCCTTGTGCTTGCAATATCTGCAATATATGTGAGCTGCTCCTAGAAACAAGAGGGCAGAATGCATGTCAGCTGGAATGTTTACAGGGTAAAACGTTTTCTCCTTGGCTGAGTGTTCAGTAGGCCAGTCATCATAGCTGGGTGACCTGACCATTCTGCCCATCTGCCGAACCAATTATCTAGTTAGAGCCTGAAATAGTTGAAAACCTTTGAGCATCTCTGACAAGAAACATCTCACCTGCTGTAGTGATGGCCAGTTGGCTTTGCCCAACTTATGCTGGTAAAGATCTCTGATGATGCTGCTACTCCGTGGAGGGATCTGCAGGCTAGACAACTCTGCCAAAAGGCAGCACGACTGACATTTCCTGCTAGAAACTGCCAAAAAAGAACACAGACACATGTTCCTCTCCACAATCTCAGGAAAGGTTTTTCACCTGAAACCCTTTGCTATTTCATTCAGTAAAGCCAATCTATCTCATCATTTCCTAAAAGCCTTTCCATGCACTGTTGAGTCTCAACACAAGAAAGAATAACCCTTCCCCAAAACACTCCTCCAAACAGTAATTCTGTCATACTTTTTTTGTTTTGTTTGTTTTGTTTTTCTGAGACAGGGTTTTGCTGTGTAGCTTTGCTGTCCTGGAACTCTCTCTGAGACCAGGCTGGCCTCGAATTCACAGAGATCCACCTACCCCTGCCTCCTGAGTGACCAAAGATGTGCGCCACCACCACCTGGCCCTGGTAAACCTCTGAGAATGAGCTTCCTGAAGAAAAGGAGAAGGAATTTCAGACTCTCGGCTGAAACCCAAGCATACAGCTAACAACACTGACTGGAAATTCAGCAACCGTGGTGCTAAGAAAGGTAGGATTACTTTGAAACGGTATATGTGTAAAACTTCCGGAATAAAAAAAGGAAAAAGTGGGGACTGTGGGTCTATAGTGATGGAGCTCATCTGCTTCTTCCTGTCATCTGGAGTGGAGGTGGGGGGCGGTTAAACTTAAACTCTCTGGTGTCAATGAACTGGTAAATAAAATGCAGTCTGAAGAGTATAGCACAGAGGCAAACCACTCGCTTTGCGTACTTGAGGCCTGGGTTCGAATCCCAGACTTCCTAAATAAAGTCACAGCCTGAGGTGATAGGGACCTGAAACTGTTCAGGATCCTAGGCATAGAGCACCGCCTACCCCAACTTCGGCCTCTGGCGTGAGCACCCTGAACCACCGGAAAGCTAAGGCAGCAGCGCAGGCCGTACCGGGACCCTGTGCACGCAGCTTCTTGGCTTCGGGCTCCAGCTCCTGAGGACTTCTGCGGCTTTTGCTCTTGAGGAGCAGCGCAACGTCGGGGGACTTCTGGGTTTCTGGGCATTTCTTGGGAGCCATGGCGTACTCCGTGAAGAGATACCAAGCCCAGTGGCAAAATAACGAAGCGAGAGCTAAAAAGCCTCTGAGGAGAGAACAGGAAGAGACAGCGCCGACGCAGGGAGCGTGCTGGTAGGCGTTTTTTGGTTCTATTTTAACTCCTTAAGAACTGCAATGTCGCCTGATAAGACTAAATTGTTTATGTGATAACAAGAATAAAGATCCAGCCGGACGGTGGTGGCACACAGCTTTAATCCCAGCACTCGGGAGGCAGAGGCAGGCGGATCTCTGTGAGTTCGAGGCCAAGCCTGGTCTACAAAGCTACATAGAGAAATCCTGTCTGGAAAAAATCAGTCAAATCAGTCAATCAATCAATCAAAATGAATCCTAAAAAAAAGTAAGACAGCAACTAGGAAGATTATGAAGGAAAATAAAGGTGATTTAAATAGGCTTGTATAGGCCCATTTCAGGGTGGTACCAGTTGGTTTTGTTTTGCTTTGCTTGTGTGGATTTTGTTGTGTTTTGTATGAGACAGGGTTTCTCTGTAGCTTTGGAGCCTGTCTTGGAACTCGCTCTATAGAGAAGGCTGGCCTCAAACTCACAAAGATCTGCCTGTCTCTGCCTCCCAAGCGCTGGATTAAAGGCAGGCGCCTCACTTGCTGTTTAAGAAAGGGTCTCACCGAGCAGCTCAGGATGGTCTGGAACTCACTATGTAAACTAGGCTGGTCTCGAACTCAAAGAGATGCGACTGCCTCTGCCTCCAGAGTACTGGGATCAAAGGTGTGTACCACCACCACCTGGCCTATAATGTTCTTTTTTATTTCCAAGTTAGAATCAAGAAAAAGAAAAGATAAGTCTAGGGGGCCAAATGGAGAGGTGACTAAAATCCCCAGGCCCCAAATGGAGTGGAAGGAAAAGGGAAGAGTAGAAGAGAAAGCCAATGTAAATAAAGGAGCTCCCTCTTCTTCCCTCCCCATAGAGGTTGGAGGGAGGACCGTGGTGCTCCCCCCTCGAAGCCTTACCTAGCTTAAATAAATTAAAACCTCAAAATAGGGCCCTTAGAAGTGAACAGGACAGCTTCGGCCTCAGGAGGCTTTGTGCCAGGCCTATGCTCACTGCCACCCATACCCTTGCCCCACCCCTATCATCCTGAACTGGGACACTACATCCAAGAGGTGGTTCCCAACAGGGCTAGAAGTCAATCTTAATTTTGTCCATGTCCCTGCCTTCCTCCCCACTGCAGAGCCAGCTCTCCTATGGAGGGTGTATAATGTTATTTTCTTAATCAGGCATAGTGGCTTATGCCTGTATGGCAGAAGAATTGCTCTAGTTTGAGTCTAGCCTAGGCAACACCATTAGTTCCATACCAGAGTAGGCTATACAGTGTGGCCCTGTCTCAAAATGAACAACAGAACCCAAAAGCAAAAGTGATAGCAAACAAAAGAGAATGCCATCTTTCTGCTTCAAGAAGGGGATACTTTTCTCATAGGAAATAATCAGGTTTGACTTTAGATGGTCGTGTGTCAGTGTGTGTGTGTGTGTGTGTGTGTGTGTGTGTGTGTGTGGGCGCACACTCCTGGGCATGATTAGAAGCTTTCCCACTGTGTTTTAAGTACCCTTAGCTCAAAATAGCCATCCTGCTAATGTGGTACATATGGGAGTAGCATGTTCTAAAACTATCAATAGACAACCATAGGATAACACCTATTTCCCCAAAGACTCCACTCCAGAGCAAAGCCTTACTTCCTTGAACTCTTCCCACAAAGCATCCAACACACATTAATACCCTCTTAGAGCCACGTCCCATCGTCTAAGGGTCAATTACCTAAAAGCCCAGGTGGACTCAGAAACTTGGACCGTTGACTGGTAGCACCGTGGAAACTTCTAATAAGGAGACACATACCAAACCCTTCCAGACTGCAGGGAACTGACCTACGGACAGACCCTTTCATCCCCCAAAGTTCTGGCTTTCCTATCCTATAAAATGTCAAGGCCCCCAGGCCACTGGGCAGTCTCATTTCCTTGGAGAGGCTGCAGCCCTTCAGTTGCTCTTATTACAAGAGCAATTCTGCTTCTGGAGAAAGCTTCTGTCTGCTTTCTTTTATTTTCACATCTCCTCCAGATTAACACCTTCCCTATAATAAGAAGAAGAGTAAACCCAAAGTTCAAGGACTATAGAATGTAATAGGCTGAAAGTAGAAAAACTGGGGGAGAAAGTGACACACAAAAGGGGTATTTTCTAAAAATGTGTTAGTAGGGCCAGAGAAATAAATGACTCAGCAGTTAAGAGCACTGGGCTCTTCCAGAGGACTCCCATCACTCATGTGAAAGTTCACAACTGTCTGCAGCTCATGTTCCAGGGGACCCAATGCTCTCTTCTGGCCTTCAATTGAGGTCACTAGACACTCAAGTGCTGCACAGACAAACCTACAGACAACACTCTTACACATAAGATAAAAAATTTTCAAAAAATAGAATTATCAATGATAATTGTGTGTGTGAGTGAATCTGCTCCACAGAGCATGGTTAGAGGTCAGAGGACAATGTGGGGTTGGGTCTCTCCTTCCAACTTTACATGGTTCCAGGGATTGAACACAGGTACTTTACCCACTAAGCTATCTTGCTTGCCACCCTTTTGAGAGAAGTTCTCATGTCACCCAGCCTGGCCTTGAACTCATTGTCTATTTTGTAATCTTGGTATTTGAAAGGTAGGGACAGGAGGACCATGAGTTCAAGGCCAGCCTCTACTACATAGCAAGTTGGAGGCTAGCCTGGGTTGAGAGCAACTGGCTGCTTTTCCAGAGAATTTGGGTTCAATTCCTAACTCTTGTGCCAATCTGTAGCTTCTAGTTCTGTCCTCCTTGGGTACTTCACACATGTGGTTCACAGACACACATGCAGACAAACACTATATACATAAAATAATGAAATGCAAAAATGTAAAAGAAGATGATGCTTGACTGTGTAGAGGAGATGGGGAGGGTGTTCCAGGCAGAGGGATCAGGAAATACAAAGACCAGAAGGGAATAGTGAGCCATGTTGGATTCACAAGCAAAAGAAACACTTAGTGCCATGTTTTTCCAGAATGTCTTTATTTTATTTTATTATTTTTTTAAATTATTTTTTGGTTTTTCAAGACAGGGTTTCTCTGTGGCTTTGGAGGCTGTCCTGGAACTAGCTCTTGTAGACCAGGCTGGTCTCAAACTCATAGAGATCTACCTGCCTCAGCCTCCCAAGTGCTGGTATTAAATGTGTGTGCTACCATCGCCCAGCTCAGAATCTGGTTTTTAGAACTGAGAAATTTTCCATGATGGATTGAACTAATTGTGAGCATTGAAAACCTGTCTTGCACACACCAACAAAGCACTTTGTTTCAGGTTGTGGTTTTTGAGGCACCTTTAACCCAGAATTTGCTTTGTTTCCTCATTTCACAATAAAACTTCTGCCTGGTGACCTGATGTCATTCATTCCCAGCTGATGAGCCACCAAGTGCAGGATGGACAAGTGTATTTCATATGTGTATTTTCAAGGTGTTAATCTGATAAAGGGGTATGGTGTAGTATTGCTCCAGATTCGGGCTGTGGCCATGAAACCCATTTATAGATGCTTGTTTTTTTTTGTTTGTTTGTTTGTTTTTGTGTGTGTGTGTGTGTGTGTGTGTGTGTGTGTGTGTGTGTTTTGCAATACTACTTTTACTATAGGAGACCAAAAAGCATCTCTTTCAAAAGCTGCTGGTTGCAGCAAATCATGGTCTCGTGTTCGCTCACACTGGAAACTGGGCAGACCACGGGTATGGCTCTAAATAATACCCATTTCTTTGACCTGCACAACAATACGTGGCTTCTTTGGAGTGTTTTCTAGAACAGATAATAGAGCACAGTGGGATGAAAGTTATGCTTAGTCTTTGACCAGGAACTAATATTTCCCTCTTCTATGCTTTAGTCTCCTTGTCAGGAGTTGATAGGATAAGGATTAGAGCTCTTGGTTCCCTCCCAGGTTTAAGATCTGTGATCTTGTGAGTTGCTGTATAGGCAGCAAAAAGCAAGATTTCAGACCACCTGTGGGAGGTGTTCATCTGGTAGGAACTATTGTCCTAGTGCAGGCTGATACATGACTCCAACTCTGCTCTGGCTGTCTATGAATCCAAACCCTGCTGAATCTGCAAAGCCTGCTGTGATCCACACAGATGCTGCTGTAGGCTTCCCACACACTGACTGCAGCCAGTGGTTTGCAAATGACAGGCTCCAGCATTCTGCAAAGCTTGCAGAGAACTCAAATTCCCCCTAAAGAACTGGGAACAGACTGAGTAGAAAAATTCAAGCATAGAGAATTCTTGTTGTTTGGCATCTCTAATATATGTTTAAATGTCCAAATATGAACAAATTCATAATAATATTAAATGGGAGCCTGAATTCTACCCTCTGGGAATATTGAATGTTAGATTAAACACTATAATTTTGGGCAAAAAAAAAAATAAGTCGGATGTTAAAGCCAAAAAGTCTACTAGCCATTTTATTGAAAATTTCTTTGAAAAATTTGTTGTTGAAAATATTTTATTTTTTGAGACAGGGTTTCACTAGATAGCTTTGGCTGGTTTGGAACTTGCTAAGTTTATAGGCTGCTCTCACACTCACCTGCCTGCTTCTGATTACCAAATGCTGGAATTAAAGCATGTGCCAGTATGTTTTATTGAATTTTGTTTTGTTTGTTTGTTTTTCAAGGGTTTCCCTGTGTAGCCCTGGCTGTCCCAGAGCTTACAATGTAGATCAGGATTTGGCCTTGAACTCAGAGATCTGCCTGCCTAAGCCTCCTGAGTGCTGGGATTAAAGAGTATGCTATCCCACCCTAACTATTGAAAATATAGTTTTTTTGATTTGGTTTTTCAAGACAGGGTTTCTCTGTGTAGCTTTGGAGCATGTCCTGGAACTAGCTTTGTCCTTGAACTTACAAAGATTCTCCTGGTGAAAATATTTTCTTTTTTTAAAAAAAGTTTATTTATTTTTTTATACAATGTTCTATCTGCATATAT